ATGTGTCCTTTACAGGATACACTTTTATCTCATGGCGGTTAGCTGGTGCTATGGATCAACACCACCTCAGATGACAAGAAAATACACCATCAAAGACAAGGACAATTTTTCAGATTAATGCGATGTTCCTACGGCTCACATCGAGAAGGTTCATCTTTATATGAATGATTTAATAGTGTATTACCTATTTAGCTGTCACTGTGTGATGAATAATTTCCCATGTACATGCCGTTTAATCTGAATTTTTTGAGCCAAAACCGTTTGTGTTACCATAGTTCGCCATTACCGTAGCTAGCCCTCATTGTCCTACAAGAACATGAAATGCTTCAATAGTGAGGCTCTGTGGTCGACAATGTTCACTGATCTTTGTTCAGTTTGCTACCCACCTTAAAAAGAGACAAACTGAATAGTCATATACAAAGTGTACTCTGTAGTGATAATTGATTCGACCGCTCTTGATGAGCATGGGCGACTCAGAACAAGTTTGCTGAGTGGAAGTATTGACTGGACAGCAGTGTGGGAATTTGGGATCGCTGAAGTGGTGAGATTAATTGGGTCAAAGTGCAAATCCGATTTAACTTCCAACTATTACTCTGAAAAGCCCTTCATTTGTCCTCAGGCCTCAAGTGCCTGCTGACTCAGACGTTGTCAATTCGGGGGTCATTCACTCTGTCCACCCCGACGGTCTTTTATTCGAAAATGAAAAAAACCTTAAAGACGTAAAGTTTGGTTCGTTATCTGGGGACGTTTGTTTTTTATGGTGATCTGTTGTAAAACTTTACTGTAAATCCTAGCAACTTTGATTTATTTATTCAACTGGAATTTCAATAGGATCTCAGACCGATACTGGGAACTGTTACGTGATCAGCTTTTGTATGAAGTTGACACTGCACTTTGTTCTATACATGACAACAGGCTGCAAACAACCGCTTGTATAATAGGCGTGATTTCACAGATGGCACTTGAACTCACTACCCTATAGACTAATTGACCTTTAACCAGCTGACTAAAAGCAACGTTGATGTTGATTGATTTGGCCATCTTCTTTAGGTCAATGGCGCACTCTGGTCACTCCGCATGGTATCTAGATAAGTGAGTAAGGAAGGTTTCTTCCGTGTCCCGTGCCTCGGAAAACTAAAGCCGCAGCATCATCATCATCATCATCAACAACAACAACAACAACAACAACAA